CCCCAAAACCCCAAAACCCCAAAACCCCAAAACCCCAAAACCCCAAAACCCCAAAACCCCGGTTGGAATTGGGAATATTGAAGGCTTCTGATAGTAGTTAATATTAGTTTTCGATGTTTTCTTGGTCTGGGTATAGATTTTGTCTTCTTTCTCTTAGGATTTCTGCTCATTTTATTAGAACTTCTGTAGGCTCATTTTCTAGCATTGTGCTGTTCAAATATTGGAGAATATCTTCATCGCTTTGAGACAGTTTTTCAAGGAGTTCTTTCTTGTCTTCATCCATATGCTCAAGAACTTTCTTTATATCATCTTCTTCAAAAAGCTCAAGCTGTTTGATATTTAAAGGCCCATCTTCGGTCAGTTTATTAGCTGTTTCATCAGTCATATTTCTCGGCTCTTGGTTTCTAGAAATAGATTAGCAAAGTAGTTAATTTCCTTACTCATTTTGCAAAACTGGCTGCATGCTCATATGAGGAGAGTAATTTCTGGCCATCTCATGACCTCCAGCAGCTTGAATAATTTCGTTAGACTTTGTTGAAGGGACCAGCATTTGGCGATCAGTAAAAACCATTTGTTTTGACTCTACAAACTTCCCTCTATTCTTCGAGATAATAGCCCCTTTGTTTTTATTATGTCTATTTCTTTTTATTTTTCTTTGACTTCTTGGTATCTAAATAACTTTGGTGCTTAGAGCCTTGATACCTTCTGTCTGATACTTCAGCTAAACTTTTGTTAAAGTAATCCTTTTCTTCATGAGATTGGTCATCTTCTTGGTCAATATTAGTTTTATCATCTTCTCTCTTCTTCATGAGTCCATATGCATTCACTCTCTTAAAGGGGTCTTCTTGTTCATCTTCAACATCTTTTTGAGGGATTAACTCTTGGTTCATGATTCTAGCCCCAGCAAGGGTGGAATCATCAAATATAAATCTATTGTTCCCTGCATTCCATTTTATAAGGTTTATTATCCACATTAAAAGAATGTTGGAGATCTCTTGTCTCTGATCAGGTACTAAGCTCGGATTTGCCTTTAGGATTTTTAATACTTTCTTAATACTCGATTGCTTTACCTTCACAGGATCTACAAGTCTTAATTGGATCAAGAAAGTCTTTTCGTTAATAATTTCTTGAACCTGCCTCCAGGTTGGAGAACGGAGAGAAGAGACATAGCTATTAGACCCTGCATTAATGTTATTTCCTTTTAGGATTATTCAAACCATTTTTAAAATCTTCTCAATATTAGGATGGGGCTTGAGTATGGACCTTAGCTCTGTGATGTGTGATTTCGTCACTTTTTGGATGGAATGTTTAGTCATCCTTACAGCATAGTTATACTCATCTTCTGTTAAATCAATTTCTAATGGCTCATCCTCCTCTTCTCTTTTCTTCTTTTGAGAGACTTCATACATAAAATTATTAGGCCTTAGATCATCTTGCTTTGAGTTTGGATGATGCAATGATTTCTGACTTGAATCTGGAATAACCCCAGTTGGATAAATTGTAGGATTGATTTTATTTACCTCTTCTTTTATCAATAGCTTTCTCATCATAAAGCATTAATTCATGATTTTTATTCATTTCCATTTCAAGTCCAGATTCCATAACTTTCATATGTAAATTAGTTAATAAATCCTTTGCTCTATCAATAATCAGCTTATAGGCTTCTGTTCCTAATTGTCCTTGCATTCTGAAGTGCCAGACTCATACAACGATAAAAATATTCTCAACACCCATTTTCTGGAGAAGATGTAATAATTTTTCTCCTGCTCCTTCGACTCCATCATCTTCAAAGCCTTCAAATAAATCCATTTGGCCAGTCTCTTCATTGATCTGATTCACTCGATAAGCGTATACCTTATTCTTGGCATTTCTGAACCTTTCTCTACGGTTGAGGTATTCCAAAATTAGAGGAACTTGATCATCGTAAGAGTTAATTGCAGCAGACTGAGCTTGGTACCTATTCTTGTTCTGTAAGACCACCTTTCCTGAAGAAATAGAGTACAAAACAGACTCTAGTTCCTCATAATGCTCTGGGGATAGTCCGTCTCCTAGTAAATCTCTAACTTCACCTCTAAGTGTGTCTTCTGAATTAGTGTCAACCTGAAGTTCCTCCATTGACTCTCCAACTAAAAGATTTCACATTATTTCGAGCTTAAATAGCTTCATTAACAATTTTAAAGTTAAACATGCTTCCTAAGCATTGCCTCTTGGGAATTATTATTTAGTATATTCCAGCTAATTTCTAGCAATTTTACATTAGAGGAGTACAAAAAGTTTTAGACATTAGTTTATTCTTACTTTGGTTCTGGATGTCTCCTTCTCCCTCTCCAGGAGTTGTCTCTTCAATAGGAATTCCGGTCCCGTCTATAAAATTAAATTATTCTGAAAGCAATTCTCAATTGAAATCCAAGCAGGACCAGGAAGATATAGAAATGAAAGATCTTTAATACAATTTTTAAAAAGTTAACGCTTTCCTTTTAGGAGCATCCTCAAACAGATTACTCAATGCCTAAAGGTAGCTTACCCATTTTCTTATTTTAAATAAAATTATAAAGATAAGGGGTTTTGGGGTTTTGGGGTTTTGGGG